TTTTTTTTTCTGTTTCATGACTTGGTTTTGTTCTTCTTTCACGTGTTTGTTCGGGCGTTTTTGGATTGTATAAGACGGATGGTGGATGATGTATGATATTGATGCTGCCTCTTTCTTTCTCTAGACTAGACAGATAGAAGATACCTGAAGATGAACGGATAGACTCGACAAACCTAATAGTATGTCACCTTCCTCCAAGGACTAAATTCATCTACTTATATACTTACGCGCACCAGACCAGCTCGGCTATGATGTATCCATCTCCATCTGCAATGAGCAAGAAGTACTAGTCACTAGATACATACTACCCACGGAAGAGTCAAAGACTCCCTCCCCACTACGTCTAGCTAGACCTGACCTGGATATGATTATACGATGATAGATCAATCCTAGCCACCTAGACACATAAACAAGAAAGGAAACTCGAGACAAACAATCACCCAACTCTTGATTAGTTAGTGCGTGGTTTCACGACATCCTGGTTCGTCGCCTAGTCAGTACTAACTAGATCAGTAAACCCTAACGAGGTATGTTCTGTAGGCAGGGACGGAGTAGTACAGACTCGTTTGATTGATTCATACCTGGTCTGCATGCTTGCATCTGGACCTGTACTGTATGGAATAGAATCCAGTCTAGCACGTATTCCTATATAGGCTGCATATGTAGTCCGTATTCTATAGAATATTAAGTAATAACTACACCAATCTACCCTCCGTATAACAAAAGTAGAGTATGCCAATCAAGTCAATCATGATATCAATTAATTAACTACAAGAACCCAATCCCCGGTAAAGACAGTCCGGTTCCGCACATTTCCCCCATCTATCCACATGATCACAACCATGTCAGATAGAGAGGGAATAGAAAATATCTAGTCATGCAGATGCAATATATACCTCGCATGATAAAAATAAGTTTAGTTGAGCTAAGTACAACTAAGCAGCCACTCCCACAGCCGAGGCGATACCCGCAGCCGCAGGACTGACGGTGGCACCGCCGGTTTGCATGTGGGGGATAGACGCCGGGGCGGGACGCTCGCGCGCGAGAGCAGCGTCGACTGTCTCGTGCGGCTGGAGGCCCAGCTGGGTGTTGTCCCAGATCGGGGCGTTGGCAGCTTCAGCGCCTGGCACGCCGACGCCGACGAAGCCGCCCTGGGCGGCCCAGTCGCTGGTGCGGCGGATGCCGAGGTCGCGCCAGACGGAGCGGACGGCCGAGACGAGGTGGTCGCGGTGTTCCTGGACGTGGCCGGGAGTCGGGGTGATGCGGAGACGCTCCTCGCCGCGGGGCACGGTCGGGTAGTTGATGGCTTGGACGTAGATGCCGTGTTGGTCGAGGAGGCGGTCGGAGGCTTGCTTGGCGAGCTCGGCGTCGCCGACGAGGAGGGGCACGATGTGCGAGGGGTTCGGGATGACGGGGATGTCGTGGTCGCTGAGGGCGGCCTTGACGGCGCGGGTGTGCAGCTGCTGCAGGACGCGGTCGCCCTGGTGGCGGGCTTGGTAGCGGATGGCGGCATCGGCGCCGGCCATGGTGGCTGGGGGCAGGGAGGTGGTGAAGATGAAGCCGGGGGCCAGCGAACGGATGGTGTCGACCAGGGCGGCGGAGCCGGCGATGTAGCCGCCGACGCAGCCGTAGGCTTTACCCAGGGTGCCGGTGATGATGTCGATGCGGTCCATGATGGTGCCGCGGGTGGAGAGGGGGTTGGGGGTGTCCTGCGAGGCGTAGACCTCGTAGTCGAGGTGCTCGGCGACGCCGGCGCCGTGCGGGCCGTACATGCCGACGGCGTGGACCTCGTCGAGGAAGGTGATGGCGCCGTACTGGTCGGCCAGGTCGCAGATGCGCTCGATCGGGGCGATGGAGCCGCACATGCTGTAGACGGACTCGAAGGCGATGATCTTGGGGACGTGGGCGGGCAGGGAGGCCAGCTTGGCCTCGAGATCGGCCATGTCGTTGTGCCGGAAGACCATCTTGCGGGCGCCCGAGTGGCGGATGCCCTGGATCATGGAGGCGTGGTTGAGGGAGTCGGACAGGATGACACAGTCGGGCATCTTGCTGCCGAGGGTGGCCAGCGTGGCGTCGTTGGCGACGTAGCACGAGCTGAAGACGAGGGCGCCGTCCTTGCCGTGCAGCCGGGCCAGGGTGTTCTCCAGACCCACGGCGTGCTGGTTGTGGCCGGAGATGTTGCGGGTGCCGCCAGCGCCGGCACCGTAGGTGTCGAGGGTGTGGTGCATGGTGTCCAGGACCTCGGGGTTGCGTCCCATGCCCAGGTAGTCGTTGGAGCACCAGACGGTCACGCGCTCCTCGGGGGACGCCGTGTGGGCGCGGGGGAACTCGCGGGCCAGTCGATTGATGTTGTTGAAGTAGCGATACGACTTGTCCTGGTGCTTCTTCTCCAACTCGCCACGGTAGAAGGCGCTATAATCGAAGCGGGCGGTTGCGGGGGCCTGCGGACGGGGGCCGGCCCCGACGTTGAGACCGGGGGAGGGGTTAGGACGGGTATACTTGGGTTGTTCTGGTTTGAATTAGCATCCCCACTTCATTGTTTTCTCAATGCAGAGATAAATAAGAATACTCACCAGCCCGAGCCTCCTCCTTCTTGTAAACACCCTGACTCAAATTCGCCCCGGGACCGGCAGTAGCATGCAAATCCCTCCGGGGCTGGGTGCGGACGTTCCGCCCAGGAACGCCCGCAGCGGCGGAAGTAAAGCGCTTCGCACCAGCCAAGCGGGCACTCTGAACAGCGAGAGCCTTGCTCATGACGGGGCAGCGACGGGCCAGAACCTGCAGGTTGGACATGGTGCCGCCGCCGGGGCTGGCGGTGGGCCTGGTGGCCGTTGCGAGGGTGCGGAGGGCGCCGGGGGAGGTGCGCTTCAGAAAAGGGCACATGGCGCGGGACTGCTGGAGGAGGGACTCCATTGTTTGGTTTGGTGGTGTGCAATTCGGGATAGAGGGAGATAGGGAGAGATAGAGAGAGGTAGGAAAGAAGAAGAGAAGAATGAAAAGAGGAGAGAGAGAGAGAGAGAGAGAGAGAGAGAGGAAAAAGTGGAGAGATGATTAATGGCCTTAAGTTTCAGGATGATATAGATTACCTAAGGGGAAAAAAAACCAGGCAGTGGGGAACGCTAGACCCAAAGAGGAAAAGCGGTCTCCGGCTGATGATTAGGTGTGTTCTGATTGGTGGGCTCCTCTGGTCGGAGGAGATCTTATTTTCTCTTCATCAAATTGACTGTTCTAGATGAGTATAGATACGGGGTATATATGTCCTGGATTCAGGGTTACATAAGAATATGTAGATGGATCCAGATAGAGTCATTCAAAAACGAGAGAAATCGATGGATCGCCACTACCGACAGCCGACAGCGGCGACCCGGATCGATTGCCGTCGCCGAGGCGTCGCTTGTGATGATAGCCTGACTCCCCAGGCCCACCGCGGCATCTTGCCCCGTTGGGATCCGGTCGGATCCGTCTCTGTATCCGGCCTCTACAATACTACTACTACTACTACCTCTACCACCATAGGATGAACAACTGGTCAATGTGTAGGCATGTAGTCATACAGCACCATAGATCACTTCGAGTTCCCTCATCTCATACACATATGCAGAATCAGAGCAATAATGAATCAATCCACAATCCACCACTCAACAGAAGAGAATCAACCCCATCGTCCCATCCCCGGGCAATGCTCCGTGGCAACGCGCCATGTATGCCTTCTGCTGTTGATACAAAGTAGCACGAATCGCCACCGTTCGAGAAATCGACGTAGATGAAATTAAGCGCCAAAAGGGAAACACAACATCAAGAAATGAAATGAAAAA